AATTGCACTACTAGGTATTCACCCCAAAGATACAAATGTAGTAATCCAAAGGGGCACCTGCACCCCAATGTTAATAGCAGCAATGTCCACAATAGCCAAACTATGGAAAGATCCTAGATGTCCACTGACAGATGAATGGATAACAAAGATGTAGTGTGTGTGTGTGTATGCACACACACACACACACACACACAAATGGAATATTATGCAGCCATCAAAAAATGAAATCTTGCCATTTGCAATGACATGGATGGAACTAGAGGGTATTATTCTAAGTGAAATAAGTCAATCAGAGAAAGCCAATTATCATATGATTTCACTTATATGTGGAATTTAAGAAACGAAGCAGAGGAGCATAGAGGAAAGGAGGGAAAAATAAGATGAAATCAGAGAGGGAGACAAGCCCTAAGAGACTCTTAACCACACGAAATAAACTGAGGATTGCTGGAGGGGAGGGGGTGGGGTATGGGGTAACTGGGTGATGGGATTAAGGAGGGCACGGGATGTAATGGGCACTGAGTGTTATATAAGACTGATGAATCACTGAACCCTACCCATATTAACTATATGTTAATTAACTGAATATCAATTTAAAAAAAGAATGAAAATTCATTCAAGGAAAAACAAATTTTATATAACAGCTAAGCATTAAAATAGTCAAAGAGCTCAATGAAACAATATCATCTATGAAATAAAAACTGAAATGAAATAAAAACATGTAAATATGAAAAAATCCATTACAAATCTTAGACATGATTCTCCCAGCCACAGGGATTGTCTTGCAACTATAAGGGAAGAAAATTAGTTGTTGTACACTAAGGAACACAGTGGAAAATACAGAACTCGGGGAATTCCACTTCAAGTAATGGCATTCTAGGTCATCAGACTAATCCTCCCACTAAAAAAAAAACCTAGGCGCCTGGGTGGCTCAGTCGTTAAGCGTCTGCCTTAGGCTCAGGTCCTGATCCCAGGGTCCTGGGATCGAGTCCCGCGTCAGGCTCCCCGCTCGGCAAGGAGTCTGCTTCTCCCTCTCCCTCTGCGCCTACCCCCTGCTCATGCTCTCTGTCTCTGTCTCTCTCTCTCAAATAAACAAAATCTTTAAAAAAAAAAAAACAAAAACTAGAAAGGCTAAAAAAATATAACACTACCTGTTTAAAACATGAGAGAACAAGGCATTAAGGAATTAAGAAGTTAATATCCAGGAGAAAGAGAAAACTCAGAGTTCATTTTGAGAAGTTTCTCAAGGGACAAGGGTCAATCTGGAAGAGATGGCTGAAGGACAAGAAGCTGTGCAGAGCTTTCAATAGACTCACTGTACTAAGGAGACAAAAACTAGAGTTCAGAACCCCTAAAGAGGAGGGCCAACGTAAAACCCCACACTTCAGACTGGGACCTTAAAGGGCCATATACTAGGAATAAGGGTGAAATGGTATACAAGAAATAGGCTAGCTCTGGCAGGAACTAAAACCACAGCTTCAAACTGGCTCAATTCTTGACTGGATTAAAATGATCCTACACTGCTACTGGCATAAGGTGCCTGTCAAAGGTAAAACTCTCAAGAGTAAGATAGCATCCTAGGCCTCAAACTGCCTTAAATTATCTATATACAATGTCCAGCTCTCATTAAAAAATAATTTGGCCTATATGAACACTAAACTATATGTCAAAAAAAAAAAAAAAATAGAACAACATCAGATAATACAAAGAGATCCATAGGGGCCCAGATAATGGAGTTATTAGGAAGAGACTTTAAACCACTATGACTAAAATATTCAAGGAAAAAAGACAAGACTGAGATTTTTCAGCAGAGAATAGAAACTGTAAAGCAGGACCAAATGGATATTCTAAAACTAAAAAATTAAAATTACCAAAACTATGAATTTAATGACTGGTTCAATACCAGATTAGACACTCTGAAAGAAAAACATCAGTGAACTAGAAGAGAATTCAGAAGAAAATACCCAGAATGAAGCATGAATAACAAAAGAATACATGGAGAAAGGAGTTTAGGGTATGGGCTGTACAGTGAAATAAAGAGCATATATGCAGTTGGAGTCAAAGGGGTGAAAAGATGATGGGCATAAGCAGTATTTGAAGAGATAATGGCTGAGACTTTTCTGATGTAGTGTGTGTTAATTAGTGAATGACATTAAGTCAGATGCAAGTATCTCTATGAATGCCACCGCAAATAACAAAAACAAAGCCATTCACACTGAAGCCCAACAAAGTATAATCACTGAAAACCAAAAACAAAGAGAAAAATCTTTAAAGCCACCAGAGGAAAAAAGAGATTTCTTTCAAAGAAGCAAGAATACAACAGAAATGGCCCAAACTCTCGGAAAGCTTACAGAAAATAAAAAGGAAGCCAGGAAAAATGTAGGTCCCTTAAAGACAACGTTGAGTTAGCAGATCCTTAGACTCTCTAGACTTCCTGTTAACAAGAAATGTCTTTATAGTCCAAAGTGGAGTAAGTCATACATTGTTACTTGTAGCAGAAACTATTCCTGATACAATGTTTAATAGGACTCCGGGAAGAAGAGATGGGAAAGAATAGTGTTTAAACAATAAAGATATACTTAGTGAAAATTTTCCTGAATTAAAGAAAGATTGACTCCTTAGAGTGAACATTATAGGTACTGAGCGTGAACACTGTAGCTACTGAGCAGGAGGAAAAAATATACATGTCTGTATATTCATACCTGAATAGAGCATAATAAAGTTGCAGGGGACCAAGGTATCAGGTAAAATCTTAAAGGCTACTAAGGAAAAAATAGTCTACCTATAGAGGAATGAAAATTAGACTCAACAGAAAAATTTCTGTAGTTATACAACCTGGATATAAAGCCAAAAAAGTATAGTACAAAGAAAGAAAATTACAGGCTAATTTCACCTAAAATATATATGCAAAGGTCTTAAAATATTAGAACAGAATTCAACATTATATTTTACAAAATAATCACAATTAAGCAGTTCACCCAGAAATTTACTCATGATTCAACATAGAAAGTTAACTGATGAAATAAACCACATTTTCAAATTAATTATCTCAATAAATGCATAAAAGTCATTCATAAAATTTATACTCCTTCATAATAAAAATCTGAGCAAGGTAAGGAGATAGAAGTTCAAAAGGAAAGCTATTAAAAACAGAAAAGCAAACATCATACTTAATAGTGAGATTTGAGAAGCATTCTGATGAAAGCCAGGAGCAATACAAGGATGTTGGTTATCTATGCTGGCTTATTTGTAAGTGACAGGACTGTCAGCATGGAACACAAGAGAAATTTCAACTAAACTACCAGAACAAATTAAGTCTAACTTATGCTAGATATAAAAGATGGAAAAGTACTTCATGGAGATAGTTATAAAACATTATTTAAGGCAAAAAAAAGGTCCAAATTCTCATAAAGTTCCAATAAAAATCCCAGTCTTTTTTATAAAGGGTAAATATAACAAAGGCAATTTCGAAGAACAGCGATGTGTGGAGGCTGTTGACATACCAGGTATCAAAACTTATTAAAAAGACAGTGTGGGGGTGCCTAGGTGGCTCAGTCGGTCGAGTCCAACTCTTGATTTCAGCTCAGGTCATGATCTCAGGGTTGTAAGCAGGGGTCCCTCAGCAGGGATTCTGCTTGAGATTCTCTCCTTCCCCTTCTGCCTCTCCTCCTACTTGTTCTCTCTAAAATAAATAAATACAATCTTAAAAAAAAAAAAAAGACAAGAGTGGTGCCAGCATAAGAACAGAAAGACCAGTAGAACATATGGGAAAGTCCTCCAAACAGAACCACATATTTAAGAAAACTTAACAGGATGTAGATAGCATTATAAACTAGTACAGAATAGATAAATTAATGGTACTGGGATACTTATCCCCATGGGAGGAAAATATATATTCTCTATTTTGCATTGATTTTGTACAAGAGAGTCAGTTCCAGGTGGGTTAAAGGTATGAATGTGAAATGCCGAACATTTAAAAAAATAAGAGAGAGAAAAATTTTCTTGATCTGAGGCAGAAAGGGTTTCTTAACCAAGACATAAAAAAACAAACAATAAAATATGAAAATTTTGGCTATATTTAAATTAAAAGTATCTGTACAACAAAAATGAACATGAATATAAATAAAGAAGACAAGCCACAGACTGAAAGAAATTGAAAACATACAAAAATAGGATTAGTATGAATAAAGGACTCTTAACAAGTTAATAAGCAAACCTAAAGCCAATAAAAAAGTGGGCAAAAGATATCAACAGAAAACATTCAAATGGCTAATTTAACATTCAAAAAGATGCTCAATCTTATTACTAACCAGAGAAGTGCAAATTAAAAATTAAATATCATTTCACATCCATTAGATTGGCAAATTCAGAACTAAAAAATAATATCATCAAGTGTTAGAAAGAATGTAGAGAAACAGAACACCTTGCCAGTGAAAATGTAAAAACTGGTATAAAAAACCACTTTGGGGAGCAACTTGGTTATAGTACTTGAAGCTAAGCATACCCACCACCAAGCATTTCCACTTCCAACAACACATTATTAGAAAACCCCCTGGAGGGGCACCTGGTGGCTCAGTCGTTAAGCGTCTGCCTTCAGCTCAGGTCATGGTCCCAGGGTCCTGGGATAGAGCCCCACGTTGGGCTCCACACTCAGCAGAGAGCCT